GGCGCCTCCGCCGCGAGGCGGAAGGCTCGTGCCTCCGGGGCACGCCCCGGTGTATATGCCCCAGCAAAGCGAGGCTGGGCACTCAAACCGATGCGTGCAGGAGTCTCTAAAGAACTACGGGTAACGTCTTGTACTGCCTCAGTTCCGGTTCCGAATGCAGGTGAAGCATGCGTTTTGGTTAATGCCTCAGCTTTGAGGGCGTTTCGTAAGGCCTGGTCGAAGTATAGCGCTACTTAATGTAGTTCATAAAGACTATTTCGGTGCTGTAGCTGCTCCTGTTTAAAGCTATGCCATAGCACCAGTTTGCTCTGGATTGTAACTGATGCTGTTCAAATTCGGGCCCTTCAGGCTTGCTTACTGCTACTTCAAAACAGTGTTTTGCTCATTTCTGTATGTAGAAATCTAAGTGCTAGTTAATCAGTTGACTTTTACTATTCAAGTCACTTGATCTCAAAAGCTGGACTGAATACTTACTTTTGTTTTCTAATAAGTAATAAAAGAACTTGCAAATGTGAATAGCAGGCTCTTTGCTTCTCCACAGCTGGCAGATCAGGCTTTTAAGTGCAGTTAGTGTTCTATGCTTCCCAGCCACCACCACTGTAATCTCTGAGCAGAAAAATGTTATTTGTGATTGCAAAATACTAACAGGAGTGAACTTATCAATTACTCTAAAATTGCAAAGTTCATATATTTCTGATCACACTAGTCTAATTGCTTGTATGACAGCCAGCTGCCAGGGGTATGGGTACCTGTATACAAGTAAGAGTGATTATAATGTGCAGGGGAATGACTCTTTCATTTCAGGAAGTAGGAAGATGTAATGTTTTGTAGGCAAAGTTAATTTCAAACCATCTTTTGGAATGGCTGCATTGTAGTCATTAATTAGCAGTACCTATCAACACTCTAGGCTAGGGAAGATGTTGGTGTTCATAACTGAACTTGCTTACTGTCTTTCAATATAAATATGTGTAAGTTTTCTAGTCTTTGCCAAGACAGGCATTGAGGTAGTAATGTGAGATTAACATAATTAAACTTTTTCAGACACGTGATGCTGCCAAGAGAACTTTCAAAGCAAGTACCAAAAACCCATCTAATGTCTGAAGAGGAATGGAGACGACTTGGTGTTCAGCAAAGTCTTGGCTGGGTTCACTATATGATCCATGAGCCAGGTAAGCACAGATGAACAAAGGAGTCTAAAATAGCAACTATCTAGTGCCCAGAACTGAAGGTTCAAGTATATAATAGCTTCTGCTCTAGAATCCAATTAGAATTTTCTACTAGATGTTTAGACTTTTATTTATCTGCTTGCTACTCTAGCTGCTTAGGAAAGCAGGCAATGTAGCAGCCTTTAGTCTAAACTTCCTCTCGCTCCCAGAACTGGTCAGATAAAATGGTAGCTACCTTCTAAGTATCTGCAGTCTCTTAGACAAAACATGCTAGGCTCTATAGGCTCTGCCTATAGAAATAGGTTTTACAGAGATCTTCAGTGATGTTAACATCTTGGCGATGGCTCCAAACTTCATACAGCAGCATATATTCATATAATGAAATAGTAAGTTAACACGCCACTTCCCTGGACAAGGTACTGCATTCATGTTCTGAAAAGTCTACAGCATAGTTTGAGCGCTGGCTCCAGTGTCTGCTAAAAGCTACACTGAAGCCAGTGTCTTTCAGTTAATGGGGCAGGAAGCTCTAAAACTCGACCAAGTATAGTTTACTAAAAACAGCCATTCAAGATACCCTTTAGGCAGGCTTGTTAACATTAACTTAACTGGTGTTAGTCCTATGGAGTTCCAAGCTCCAAAGGTCCGGAAGAAGCAGTTAGCCTAATCTTCCAGTGTCTGCCTTTGGTATTTTGATATTTTGAATGTACTGCCTTGAGCTTCTTTGGAGGAGCTGACAATTCAGGTCAGGTCAGTTGACAAGTCAGGTCATAATAATGTAAGCTGCTTATATTAACATAATTAAAGTGTGCTTTGATGCTTGACAGTATGTACTAGGTCAGGCCAACATAACTAGCTTCTTAGAGTAAGTTACAGTGATAAGGCTCATTAAATAGCCCAGTGTCTAGTACCAAGTCTGCTGTGTTTTCCTGTATTTTTGTTCCTGTAAATAGCTCAAATTTGGGGGACTGCAGAGTTCCAGTATAAAACTTTTGAAAGAATGTGATTGCTTAAAGTTACTGTAAAGTGGTTCTAGAAACTGTTCCACATGGGGACCTAACTGTGGGTTTAACTACTTGGTCTGTTTAGTATCTGACAGTAAGCTTCAGTTATTGTTCAAGAGATCTTGAACAGAAATCACCTCCTTAGCCAGGACTTAAGGACAGGCTAACACTTTGTTCAATTTTATTTCCAGAGCCACACATTCTTCTCTTCAGAAGACCTCTTCCAAAGGATGAGCAAAAATGAACTACCTTCTAGAAATCTACTCCTAAATCTTCTGGAACTTTATGTATATGAGTGTATATATGTTGGTAGTATTCAGTGAATACTTGAAAATGTACAAAACATACATCCATACCTGTGCATGAGCTGTATTATTCACAGCAACAAAGCTCAGTCAAATGCAATTCCAAGTAGGCTGCTATGGTGTTCAAAGATTAATGAAATTTTCTTTACTGTTAAAGTGCCTATTTGACTTTTCATTGAATTTTTGTTTATTAAAGTTTACATGTTGCATGTTCTGACTAGATGATCACTTGTTACGTGTGTTCAGTAACTTTCACACTGAGCTTTTCTGCTAAACAGTGTAGCATGTTCAAATCCAATGGCTCATTGTTCAGTAGTAGGCATAAAGAAATAAACTATTTTTAATGCTCTATAATAACTAAATGTCTAAAGTTTTAATTTGCCAGACAAAATGACTTATCTAACACCATGCTAGAAGTGTGTGTGTGGGGGGGGGGGTAACTCACTTGGGAGAACTTGGAAGTTGGAGAAGCTACTCTGTTTCTCTGCAAGAATTTTTACCCTATGGTCTTTGGTTTTTTGATCCTTACCTGAACTTCTTTTAAGGGTGTAAATCAAGTGGGCTCTGTACTGAAAATGAAACTGGCAGTGGTAATACTCAAGGTATTTAGCTAGGCAGGTGATGTGCTGTTTAAATGGAGGCAATAGTTGGGCTAGCCTCTGACATCCTAATCTAGAAGTAATAGTGATTATAGCGTAATACTTATCCTGCAGTAACTTAATCTCCACAGTGTATACTTGGAGGATGTTAATTATACTACATTTTATTAAGCTTTTTACTCCTACTTGGTTACTTTGCCCCAAGCTATCTTCCTATCTCAAAGTTTACTCTGGGGTTTTAGCCTATGTTTCCACTGTTTCACTTTTTTCTGGGAAGCTGAGTTGGCACTTTGCCTTGCTATGTAGGCAGTCCTTAAAAAGCATGGTCAAAGTAAACTGAGTGCTTTTTCTCTAATAAAAGCAGCTGCTGGTAGCAGGACAGTAGAAACTTGCTTCCTTTATATTTAAAGGGTCATAACCAACCCAGTAACATGTGAATTAGTTCTTATTTAGAAAGTTGTGCGCCGGCACAGGTGAGCTGTTAGATTGAATCCATATACCAAGTTCAGAGGTGACTAGTTGCTTCAAACTGGTCCACGTGGCATACTGGAGCCCTGTAGTAGTGTGCCTACAATCAACTTCTTTGAAAGGATGCTTCAGTATAACTGTCTCTTCAGAATAATTGTTTGTTCAGTATTGGTGAGATTGTAGCTGGTTCACTTCAAATGCAAGCTAGCCTTAGATCTGTAAGGTCAGGAAAGCCAAGAGAAACAACATCTTCATATCACTTAACCGATGGGGGCACATGATCTTCCTGTGTAATGTGGGCATGCAATAAAGATATGTTGTAGTGCCAGGTGGAGGTAAGTGACTTGCAATGGTCACACAGTATGGCCCTGTATATGATTTAACTGCTGTGGCTGGAGGCTGTAGACATCAGAGCTGTGTGGCTGAGATGTTAATGGCTCCAGAAGGGGATATTAATAGGAAGTAAGACTTCCCCAGTATCCTTCCTATTGCTATGTTTATGTCAGATCTGGTGAGGCAAATAATCCTCATGGTCTTGCCCCTAGAATTGCTAAAGTTGCCTACTATCTCGGTGCTGAACTGCAAGACTAGCCTTACCCCTAAAGTGTTGCTTCAGGGAGTCTAGCCAGAAGAACCACCCCTCAAACTGTTATCTTGAACCTGGCTTTTCCTTGGCGACTCAGCACCAGACTCTTGGGTGCTGACTACTGCTCACCCACTACCATTGGACTTAAAACACTTTCTGCCTCTTTATCTCCGAGTGGAAGGAGCAAGCCCAAGACCCGTACCTCTTCTTGGCTGGGGCGAGGCTGCTCTTCACCCGCTGAAATGCCTCACCGTCTCTCGAGCGCGGCTGGCGGCTGCTCAGCGTCCCTGCTG